ATCTCCTAATACCTTTTTGAATTAAGTTAGATTTCTAGCAAGGAGTAGTTCGCTATATATTTGTACGTGTGCATATGTGCGCGTATAGATATATAATGCTTATATTTAATAAGTGGATGTGAATAACTGCTGTGTCATGTAAATACAAATAATTACAGTTTCTCAAGGAAAAGTTTGCAGTAGTGTTTGCAGATATTATATATTTTCCTACTTCTGTCTGAGGAGTAAAGGAATTTCTCTGCTGAATAGCTGTTAGTATCTATTTTACAAGATTTACTCATTTTCAGGTACCTAATGTAGCTGCTAGCATGCATGCACAACAATACAATTTATATGGTAAATGGAACCAAATAATGGCTTCACTGAATGTTATGGCTGCACTGAAGGGAAATGTCACGGTAAATAGCTGCCAAATTATGGATCATGCCGAAGTGTCACAACTGCACTAAAGACAAATAGCACTAGAGGCTATTGCCACTGTGACGCTTTTGAGTTATGAAGAAGAGGAGCAGCCTGATGTGAGCCTCTTTGTGTCCTCATTATAGCAAAGGGTTACTGGTGCAGTGTACAAGAAAACCTAGTCCTACGTGGTGGCTAGTTATTAATCTGTTCTTTTCGAATCTAACAGCTGTAGCAAACCAGAAAATCTTTTCCTTGCTTTATGAATACACATACACACACACAAAACAAAGAAAAACCTGCAGGTTTTATGAATGTAAATGTGTACGGGAAATGACTGGTAATGGAAAAATGTTGTAATAAAATAATCTAATCAAAGAATATTATTAAATTTAACATCGTATGTGTCTGAAAGCTTTAGTTGCTTCTTATGCAGATAGATGTGTGAAATATAAGCAATAATGCACTTTCTCTCTTTGTAAAGACTTGAGTAGTAAGGACATTACCAACTAAATTGCTTCTTCTAAACTGAAGTGTGTCCCGGTTTCTTTCATTTTAATGGGAGGGTAATAAAGATGAAAGACTAACATTTTAACTGATGGATCCCTTAAGCTACAGAATCGAAATTTATTATGTTTTGAGGGAATATGCTAAATCCTGAAATGTGGAAAGAAGCAGGGAAACCCCAGGTAAAATAAAAGCAAAGTAACCTTGCAAAGTAACCTCTTTTTTTTTTTTTTTTTTTTTTTTTTTTTTATATTATATCCTTTTATGAATGGAAAATTACCTACTGCTCTTACTTAAGCTGAGAGAACAGTACTATTTTCTCTTTGGGGCAAAGAAAAAGGGGAAAGATATTTGGAGGGGAAAAAAAAGATTTGAAAATGGAGGGCCATCGCTCAGCAAGTGGTCTCTTCTTTCTGGGATCACTTTTCAAGCCCTGCCTGCAGTGTTCGGGGAAGTGAGTTTGGTGCTCTGCACACTATTGTACACACCACAAACGTACCATCCATAATACAGCGCAATTGTCAGTTGCTGTTTTACAGAGGGGCCAGGGCTGAACAATCATGGTGGATAAATTACTTTTCTATTCTACAGCAAGTGGCCTTCCTACCATGTGAAGCTTAAGGTCATTGGCAGGGCAGCGAGGGGGAAGCTTATATATTAGTTAACTCTAATGCACTAATAGTGTTCAGATAGAGGAACTATACCAATTAATTACAGTTAGGTTTGTTCTTCAAGATGGGGGCGATGACTTGAAGAGTTACTGTGCTAAGATACATATATATATGTATTTTGCTTTCTTGCTGCTCCCCTTCTTGCTACAATATTCCTATAGATAACTTGTTTTTCTTTTTTTCTGTAATATCTGCATTAACTCCTTCAATATGCATCATTGCAAGCTTCCAAGTTTCAGAAATAAGAACTGTTCTGAAAAGATTTTTAAACTATAGCAACACATACTGCTTACAGTTTTCACTGTGTAGTCTAAAGGGGGAGGGGAAGAAAAACCTGTCAAAAATTAGGTAGAACATCCTTGAATGGCAATTAGCATGCCCAGAATTTATTTTATGTACAACACAGTGGCAAGTAGCTGCTTCTTATTAAATGAAAATCCTGTATTATGTACTTCAGGAACATTCCAGCTAATGAGTATGTAATGTCCTTAGTATAACACAGAACTTCTTTTTGTGTTCACAACCACAAGATGCTGGAAACTTGACAAATGATATCATTTAAGACAGATGCCTGCCTTAGGGACCTGTTTTTTGGCTTCCTGTTTCTGGTTTTTATTTCAATAACATTTGTAATTGCCACAGGATCTGTACCTGTGTAGTGTTTTAACCCCTTCACATATACCCCGTTGCATTAACTCCTTGGGTGGATGTTCAGGAATCTTCTCTTTTTAATTTTCTTTTTTTTTTCCTCCCCAGCTGATGTATTCTTCCTGCCTCTCACAAGCACAGATATACACATAAATAAAAGCTGGGGCTTACTAGACCAGATGAAAATGTAACATTAGACGGGTTAAACGCTTACTGCTCTAGCTGTGTTTTACTAGTGCAAAAGTACATGTAGACCAGGCCCAAGGCAAAAAATAAAAAGCTGTCAGGTATGGCCGGCCGATTCTCAGTGAGTTACAACAAAATTCTGTGTATATGGCATAGGTACACAATACCTCGGTCTCAGTTATACTCTCCAATGTATATTTCCCCCTCTTAAACTCACATGCTTTACTTGGGTTACAGGGCAGAATGGGTTTTGACACCACTGCAGTTTGATGGTGGTTGTAAGGAGCATTTTGGTGGTGCTGGTTCAACAAGAGTTGTCTCTTCTGTGCCTCCAGCAGAGCCTGCTTCAAGTAAAGCCCCTATCACAGGGGCACACAATGGCGGTTTTCAGCTCCCCGGACGCTCAGCGTGGATCCTGGCAGACTGCAAGAAACCTTCCCACAATCCAGAGCATCCTGGAGGTTTTGGAGGCAGTTTATGGCATGTTCTCTCTCTCCTTTGCTTTTTTGTAGGTCTCACAGACGGGCTGGGCACGAGCAGCTTACGTGGTTCTGCATAGTGGAGTTTTCACTGGGAAACATTACTAAATCCTGCACAGTGCTATAGCAACAAATAAGGGCTTGGAAAGAGCACGAGTTCTTGGCACCTATTCTGCAGGTGAGAATTTTGCACTTGTCAGAAGCACTTAGCTCTCCTGGACTTACAGTGCTTTCTGATGTCATTTTGAAGCAAAACCTTTACATTCAAGCCTTCTGTCACAGGATGTGTAGTCTCATTGCACCTGTGCTCTTAGGCCAGGTTTATCCTGTGAAGTGTCAAACAGCCTTCTCTTTCTTCAGAACTGGAGCTGGGGACACTCAAGAAACGTCTTGGTTTACTGCAGGACCAGACAGCACATCGCACAAACATACCCTCTGGGCCTTCTGTAAGAGAAGGACGGGGAAGTCTTTATCTTCTATCACAAGAGGGAGGTCAAAAGGACCGAGTGAGTGCCAGACCAAGTCACTTTTGCTGTTCTAGAGTTCATTTTCGGAGGAAGTAGGCAGACACATAAATCTCATTATGTGCTATGAGGATGTGTGCACAGGCTTCTTGAGCGCCGTCTTAAAAAACCATACCCCTAAGGGGCTGATTCACAAAGGGAATAGAAGGAAAGGAAATTTGTATATTTTCTGTAAGCAGTAAGACATGACATGCAGCACGGTTCTGGCTGATTACAGCTCACCTCCCAGGTGAGCTGGGAGGCACGAGGCCGCAAGCCAAGTGATTTCAGCCTTCCAAGAAAGAGAACTCCACAGAAATGCATTGTGTGGCACGTCTGATTGCTACAAAGAAAAATACTCCGACTTCATTCACGTTGGCATGACATTATTGGCGTGACTGTTTCTGGCAGCCCATCAGAAAGTTTTATTTGCATCCAGAGTTTTGAAAGCCATTTCATAATGTTAAACAAGGATAACACTGAAAATGTCTGGCTTATTTGCCCCTTGACACCTATGTGTAATCCCTCATTGAAGCCCTAATGAGGGGGTTCTCCTCGGGTTGTGTTGCTTTTGAAACAACCCCTGCATACAGGCAGCGTAATCTACCTTTCCTCCCTGCGTAGGGTGTGGTGAGAGTAGCCAGAAGGAAGTGGATAAAGTGTGTTATTTTTCCTGTATTCTCAGTAATCGAGATGCAGAGTCAGTTATTGGATCATTTGACTTCTTACTGAGCTGGGAAACCTCAATCTGCTATCACAAGCGCCTACAAATAGGAGAGATATTGAGTCAGTTTCCTCTCCTGGGAATGTAAATGAGGAACAAGAATAACACTCTTGAAATCAGTGTAAAAACCATCTCTGAGGAGAACCTGGCTCTTATTTCTCTGTGTGTGTGTGTGTTCATGCTGCTGGAAAAAAACAGTTCTAACGCAGACCTGCCTAACCTCAAATTGCAGTGAAATTTCCCAGGGCCTCCAGATAACTCCCAAAGTCTTGGGAAATGCAGTGTGTTTGCAGTCTCCGATGTTGTAAGAGCTGTGGTGGCAACAGCAGCAGCTTTGCAAATTCTCGGTTCTCTGACGATGGGTGGTGGCAAAGGGAACCCTGCTCGAGGGAAACTGCTAGAAAGACAACCCTCCCATTCTCAGGTATCATTCTTCTCAAAACAAATTAAAGTGCGAGGGACAGATTGTCATCCATCCTAGTTTAATAAACAGTTCTCCTCCATCTCCAAAATGCTGAGTTACTCGATAGCTATTCTTTCCTTACCTTCTCCCTCTTTCTCTTCACCTCCCTCCCTACTCCCAGGGAAAAAAAAAAAAAAAAAAAAAAAAAATTCCCACTTAAATAAAGGCTGGCACAGCCTAAGGACACTACGTAAGAAAATAACAAAAAGCATTGCTGATTATTTTTTAGACTTTGTGCAAACAACTTACACCCATTAGCAACTAGTATTGGTTTCACCAAAATTCTGTAGCGTATGCACTCCGTAACCAGACTTATCCATTTTCTGCAGAAAAAAAAAAAGGGAGCGGGGGAGAGCACTGCAGAGATTTTAGTTAGTAAAAGTTAAAAATACTTTCTCTTCCCCCCCCCCCCCCCCCCCAGGGAAAAAAAAAAAAAAAAAAAGTGAAATAATCATAGAGGGGGAGGCTGCTGGAAGTGTTTCAGGCTTTTCTCTCCCTTAGCAGGAGGGAGTTCAGTTATCCTTGTCTTGTAACATGCCTAAACCTAACAAAGTACACGGAGTTTTGCCTATAGGCTCTGCAACAGAATTTCAGTAGATTTATGGCAAATATATACAGTTTCCATTTTACTGCAGAAAGAGGCATTGCTTTTGTTTTCTATATACAAAATCCTTTTATTCTAGTGAGATGGGGGGGTGTGACCAAACCACCAAGGACTCTTTCCACCTGTATGATTTAATTTGCAGTGTCTTTCATTCTATCTGATAATGCTACAGTTTAATGTGATGAAGCTACTTCTATTGCATTTCTTCCTTGTTTGCAGAAAGCTGACACGTTCAGCAGTCACAAAATACGTGTCATGGTGCAAAGAGGAAGGAACCAAATATTCCCCCTTTCCCACAAAACTGAAATTGCAGAGGTACGAAACAGTTCAGCAGTGGTTCACATGTTATGAACCAGAATCCTATAAGATAAATGAAGGGCTGTGGATGAAACACACTGTAGAGAAAAATGTTGTATCTAGCAGGGGCAAAAAAGGACATTGGTGCTGGGGTTGTGTGCAGGTGACTGGAAGGCAGCCAAAGTTTGTGCTTCACCTCAGATGAGTTCAACAAGTAGCAACAGGCTTTTTTTCCCCTGTGTAAATCGGATAAAATCCTAACTCTAACAGCAGTACTTCACAGGTATTCTGCAGGGAGAACTAATGCCAGTGTCCTTGCTTTCTAGATACTTTTCTTTCATCTTCCTGGCATTATGTCATATTTTCAACTAATTGCAGACTAACACAAGGTGGTAGGGTGTTGGCAGTGATTTCCATGCTTCCAGAAATGCAGTCAGGACTTCACCATGTCTGTCATATATAAATGGCAGTAGTACCTCTTAAAGCTCTCAGTAAACAAAATGTTGGTAGTGCCTTCATGATGGCTGGAGGGGAATGAACACGACCATTTCATTGGCGCTTTCCAGCATAATTTTGCCAGAGTCCAACTGACATCCACGCTTACCTAAATGATGGAAAAGTTTCTCGGTCCTTGAAAGCTAGCCATACTATATTGGAGGGAATACAGAGAATAGTACTTTTCCAGTGGTTTCCTGTCTATCGCACAGTAAGGTGGAAAGATTGAACAGCCCCCAATTCTGACACTTGTATATCAGACAACGTGCATGAAGGTCTAAATGATTTTAAAGAAAATAAGCATATTTGCGCTAAGAATGTGTCCCACTCCAGGAAGATACAGTTTGCACTGTGAGCAAATTAGTCTTTTTGTTCAACTTCGTATTTAAAAAAACCCAACAACCCCAAACACCCACTCTTATCCCCTGCCCCAGGACTGCTTGGTTTTGTGCCTGGCAGGCTGGCTTTGCTCTGAAGCTTACTAGTTCTCCTTACCGTGTATATTTTAATGTCGACACTGATCTTCAATCAGCATTGCCCTGGCCTTCCAGTGGAAATATGCCAAAATGTCACAGGTTTCCAAATGAAATGCAAATACTGAACTTTCTGAAATTTACTGATAGTATTTTACTCCTTTACTGCATCTGAGCTGTACCAACGGAAACAAGGGCTTAAGATTCCTGACAGCAAAGGCAAAGCTCTTTGCACTTGCCACTCCACAGACGTCTCAGCTGGATGGTCCGTAACACCTCGCGAGAAGAGTACGGGTCCTCTGCTTGCTCGCTCGCTCAGCATAATGAAAAGAAGCAATGAAATACTCAAAGTCAGGTCAGCCTACCTATTGTCATACCTAACTGTTATTACACAGATGTCACAGCAGCAGGTGCAAAATAAATACCTGGGTAATGGAAACCATTTGCTTTGCCTTTAGCCACAGGCGTCGGGTCTGATTTACTGGTGGCTGGCAGCTAGAGAGCATGGGAGAGCCAGGTCCCTATAGCCAGCCTCGCCTTTACACGCTCAGATGGGAAAAGATAGCCACGGTGGAAGCTGATCTGGAGGAGACGGTCTTATTTTTCTCCCATGCCCTCCTCCCCATGCTCCCTACTACTCTGCCAGAGCAGGGAGATTTAGCAGAGCCATGAATCTACGCTTACGCGTTGCCCTTTCATCATTTGGACCTCGGTGGATGTACACAATCTGGAGCACTCTTTGCTCAAGGCAAACAAAGTAAAGGAGGAGAGTGACATTTCAGTCTTTCATTGCAGAGTCATTTGGGTCACTCGCTGAAATTATAGACACCAGCTCCAGCAACGTTAACAGCCAACTTCAGATTATTAACCATCCTTTGGATAGCAGTACATTTACGGTGCCAGTGCACAGAGAATTCCTCCAAATTACAGGGTGTCCTAACACAGCCGGTCAAACCACATGGACCTCTAGATGCAGTAAGCAGTGTAATTAAGTCTGTTTTCTCATTTGTACTTTCCTAGCAGCACTCAAAATACACTCTCGACCACTGGATGCTGCTCTTTGCATCAGGCTATGAAAGGAGATAAGAGGGAAGGGTGCCTTAACAATAGCTCATTAAGGAGACCTCAAACATTTTCTTTTATTGCATTATTTATGTTTTGGGTGATAATAAAACACTATTGCCAGGGCAAAGTGCACTCAAGAAGCTTATTGGCCTGTAGGTGGTTTCATTTGATTAGGTTTAGAAGGAGGAAGGCTACAGAAATTTCTTTTACCTGCTGCTTTCCTGAAAGATCTGGGTATTTTTCTTCCCCTCATCAGGCCATACATTGTCAATACCACTGAGATCCACCGAACTTCATTAACCCTTTCAAATATTTCTGGGAAAGGCAGTGACCATTTTTTCCCCTAAGGCTCTAGAAATTCGTCTTCACTGCAAAGATCACTGGCATCCCCAGTACCATCCATTTTTTAATATAATGACCTTCTGCATACAAGCAAACAAACACGAAGAGAACCTAAACATTTAGATTCCCGTGAAAAGATCATAAGGCTGATTTCACACAAAAGAGTCCATATTAAAAAAACTCAACCAAAAATAATAATAATACTACAGATGTCATGAATGCTTAGTCTTGTTCCTTGAGTAGAATTTTATAGTTAGTCTAGCACTGCATTAATTACAATCTTTCTTTCTTTATGTATTCTCCTTCAGAGCCATTCTCACTCTGTGTAAATCTGCTGCAGTACATTTTGTTACCTATGTACAGATCCAAGAAAAAATTTTGGCCCTCACCATGGAATATTCACTCACTTTCAAATGTAAGTAAAAGAACTGAAACTAATTATCTGGAAACTGCAAGTGTTGAGAATTCCTTGTTTATTATAGTGCAGCTCCCATCTCTTCAGCTTTTCTTTCTGATTCTTCTCTGCTATAAACATAACACTAATGACTGTTAAAGCTAAAAAAGAAAAAAAAAAACAAAACCACCAAGGCTGGAAGGGGCAGAGAGGATAGAAAGTATCAGACATTCCAAAGAGAACATGGGAAAAATTAGGTGAAAATAGAAGCTATGCCACGTAAGAAGTGGATGCCAGGTCTGCTCTTTGGTATGGAGAGCGACTCTAACAGAGTTCATAGGCTGTGAATGGATCCCCATGTCTGTATGTATTAATTAAGAGACCAGACAACAACTAGAAAGAACTGCTCCTCGTGCTCTTTTAAGCCCTGAAACTGTCCACTAAATATGCTGAATGTGGAGAAGAATGGCATCTTGATAGTGAATGAGAAAGCATTGTTTAATTAGTATAAAGTACAAATACTTTCATTATCTGAAGAAGTCAAGTAGCTAAAAAACAAAGAAACATGGGGAGAACAAAAGATTTCTGATTTCAAATATCATGGGATTAGTTTGACTCTATGTGCTATTCAGTGCCTTTCTGAATTACAGATCACCGAGATCTCCATCCAGAAATACAATGTACTGGTATTCGTCTTGTCAATGATATATACTCAGAGGGCTATTTCTCTAATTGATGGCTTCATCATTCAATTCGAGATGCATAAGGATAGCTATTGTTATCTAACACTAACCATCATATGTTCCTATTGTTCCACACTTCTCTCCTTGTCAATAGCATCCGAGATATCCTATCTAAATCTTCAAGATAGCAAAAGGAAGGTGCATTATTTGTTGACTTCACACATCGCATTATTAAACGTTTGAGAGCAACCTGCACATCTCCCCTCTGACATCTTTAAGTATTCAATTAAAATTGGACAAGAGAGTACACCAATACAAATAAATACTCAAATGAAGGTTTTGCATTGAATTCTTAAAGTATTCTAATTCAGGTTCTTGCTAGCAGGCACTCCGCTGAAATCAGGACAGTGATGCGAGTGTGAGAATGAAGTGTGTATAAAAGGGAAGAAGGCAGATTGCTTTATGGTGGAGTCATGGCAGAGGTTTGACAGGAAATGCTTCTCCCAATACAGCTAAGCAGGGAAGGAGAACCCTATTATATGGATGAGTGGGGCCGGCAATGGCATCTTGTCATTCTAACTTGTATGAGTAAGCAAGCTTAATTGCTCCTTGTCTTTTCAAGATGACTTTCCACCAACAATCTCATTATCACACACATATGTTTATTGCACACATCCAAGTCCCTTCACGCAGACCTGAATGCAATGAGGAGAGCAGCAATATTATGTTAGTCAGTAACATTGTTCTTTCCTCTTTTTTTTTTTTTTTTTTTTTCCTTTTTAAGCAGACGGATGTGACCTGCCTTCTCCTTCTGCGACTAACAGGGTGACCAGAGGCAGCGGATCGTACACCAGGATTGGAAAGAATAAAACCAGAGGGAAAGCAAGCTGTCAAGAGAACAGTGTACTGAAGAGGAAAAATGTAAACATGACTTCTATTTACCAAGATTAATATGTAAAGTTAACATGTTTGTCATGGAATATATTAATATGTATGTTTTCCCATTATGTAGATCTTTTCTTATATTACTTATTAGAAAGGGATATAATCACAATGATGGGGCAAGAATGTCACTTAAAAATTAGGTGATGCCCAGTCAACATAATATAAGCACTACAGTGTCATTTCCGATTTAGATGCGTTGATATCAGTGTAATTGCCGCTGGGAAGAAATTATAATGGCTGTTAATGATAAATAAAATGACAAGAAGGAGGTTCCTCCTTCACATATAATTCCAAGCAGAATTCAACTGCCGACTTCCTTAAGCAACTCAGTGCCGTCCATTGATGAAGAGGAAATAAGCAGGTTTTGTGTAGCTGCACGGCCATAAGAGCTGCACTGTCATTCCCCAGGCCCGAGCAGAGACACTACGGGTCTAACAAGATTTCACCACACTATTTCCTCTCAGGGAAGATGTAGTAATGAAGCTCATATGAAGTGAATCTTAACACAAACTTAGCACTATTCTGAGAGAAAGCAAGGTAGCTAGCAGACACAAAGATAAGCAAAAATAAGGTAACAGCAAGCATAGAATCATGTATGTGGATACTTTTCAAAGCCCTCAAATACTCCAGCCTTAACTGTAAACACAGGCAGCCTTAACCCACAGATCCAAAGACCTTCTTACATTTGTTTTATATCATGAGCGTGTCAAGGATGAGCTACATGAAGCATCGTTCACCCACAACACATGGCTTGGTAGCCTACTTGAGAGCGTCTTTCAACTCACTCACAGATTAGAAGTCAGGAAACCAACATTTGGTTACTCATTCTAACATTGTGATCAAAGACTGTATCTTCCCATCTGTGAAGAGCAAGAGCACAATTCTTTTCTCCTCTCTCTGAGATTGCAGAAGACTCAGAACATACAATCAACATCATATTCCACATCCCATGAATAACACGGTTCCAGTCTATAAAAGCACAAAACTCATCAGTATGGCATACACACATACATTTTTTCCTAGGCACCTAGGAAAGAAGATAGGTATAACCAAATCTGGAGTCACTTCTTTATAATAGTCCCAGTCTGCAGCTATCCAAAGCTCAGAGACTGCTTGATCCACAGGTGTTGTCCCGGTGTATAAAATGACAACATCTCATGAAGAGGAAAATACCGTGTACCTGCAATTTAATCTTCATTTGGAATATTAAAAATCAATTGGTAGATGGTGGTGTGAGGGTTAAATTTAAAAAAAAAAATGCATTCAATTAAAACCACAAAAAAGATACAGGCAGCATTGGTCAAGCTGTTATTTCATTGTATTAGCTAGATTTTTAGTTACTTGTTAGACAGTTTAAAAATATAAATAAATAAAAATGAACCTTTACCTGGAGAATAAACCTCTCCATTTCCAGGTGAAACCAATTTGCTAATTAAGTTCTAGCCGATGCAAGCACTTCTTCAGGCAATTTACTCTTAGGTACATATATGCCAAAGAGGGCAGGGGCAGTAAGAGAAGAGAAGGTATAAAAATGAAAACTGTGTAACATGCTTTATAAAATATAGCAAATTAACACAATGTGTTTACCCCAGTAAAACATCTGGACTACCAGTCTAGCATTTTGAGGTATATAGGTTTTTTGGGTCTTTTTTGGTGATCTGTTTTACTACAGGGTATGTCAAAGGAGTGCAGAGATCTGCCAAGCCCCAACTAATTGCTTTGGCTCCTTTGCATGAAGACCATTTGCTGATAAATTGTTACAGACACATTTAGGCAACAGGTTTTCATAGGGTGCCTGGTGCTCTTTATAATGCAATTAGGTTCATCTAGTGTATGCTTTTTCTTATGCATTGTTTTTCGTCTCCTCGCGACCAATAATGATGAAATCTGCACCCTTCAAGTGACTGAATCTTCCCCTGTGTTTCCTGGATTTGAGCTCTCTTTCAGGAACAGGCATGAAAGAAATAGGCCTACCTGATGTTTAGTAATGGGGATTTTCTTTTAGTGCCTGTTTTATGTTTGGGAGAGCCAGAAGAGAAGAATGTGGACTGAGGTGGATCTTATTCATTTGCCAGCTGTGTAAAAGATGCTAGGAACACTGTCCTTTAGAAAGCAAAGCAGCTTGATGTGCTCCAGAAGAGCTGCAAAGAAAAACCTTCCTATCAGTTCCCATGTGGAAAGACTCCTTGCAACAGCTACACAAGCATGCTTGGATAATTAATGAAAAAACACCAATTCAGACACCTCCATCCAAACCTCTCCTCACCTAAGGACCACAGGTGTCTGCCTTTCTTCCAACAGCAGTAAGGTTCTCCAGGCAACGAGGTACTCCAGGTGTGTGTCCTTTTCTGCAAGTGTTATATTCCTGGTTTACCTTTAAGCTGTGCTGGCACTTGCACACGAGATACTCCTCCCATGTAGGACCCACTCTGGTAGGCATCTGTGTGATACAAATAATCCAGCCCTGAAAAAGAGGTGATCTGAGCACCTACCTGAGATGAAGGCGGGGAAGAGAATGAAATTCAGCTCTTCCAAGGTGATTCAAATGCACATTTTGTAGAAATGCCCTAACCACAAAAATAAGGGGACTATTTTTGAATAAGGATTTCTGGTTTTGAAGCTGCTTTGCCTGATATAAATTATATTAAATGTAGTAGGAGCCAGAACTCAGACACCCTGCTCCTGACTGCCCATCACAATTGCTACACTTCAAAGTCACTGCCTTTCTTGCTAATTGTAATGCTTTCCTCTGCAATACCTTAATTTCTAGGTTCTCCATTGCACAAAGAGCAGAGGCACTGCTCTGCACTCCAAGAGTCCTGTTAGGGCAGAATTTGATTCACAATTTCCCACTCTGCTGCTGCCGCCCAAAAGCACCTAAAGCTTTGCATCTGGGCATCTCCGGGAGCATCAAAATCCTCATCCACTCACTCTTAGTGCCTGCACTTGATGCAGAAGGCATTCTTCACCTTCCAGAGCAGGCTCTGGGTCCTAGCTCTGCTCCAGCTACTTAACTGGCTCAGGAAACAGAGCGCAGGTCTCCTCTCTCCCTTGTGACCATGCTAACCATTGAGCTACGCAGTCTGTTCAGGTTTTCTGAGTCTCCCTGACCTACTAAATGTTTGTAATTCCCATGTGGAACACATCAGGGAGAGACCTTGGAAGAGCCCCACCCCAAAGCCAGTCATGCAGCCTGTTGTGACAGCCCTTGGTGGCTCAGGCCAGGGATTAAGGACCGCTGCAGCTTTCCCAGGTGGATCTGCAGAACGAGTTCCTTCAGGCAGAGTACAATTACCAGGGCTAGAATTTAACCAGAACTAACATCCAGCTCCTGTGAAAATTCCCATCCGTAACAATCACTGCTGGTCAGGACCTTGGGTTTGCACCTTGCTGGGAGAACAGCAAGCAGGTGTCTTTAATGGGGTGCTGGCCCCAGAGACTCAGCAAGGCTCCAGCAGCAGGGGGAAGTGTCCTCTCCAGAAGCAGCTTTCTGCCACTTTGGCCCTTGAAACTTCTGCCTCACCCCAGCCTAGTTCCACCGGATATTTTAACCACAGGCAGTAGTACTGTATAATTAAGAAAGTGTTTTATAAAAGATTTTCAGGTGTACACCCTGAGGAAGTACTCAGAGGTCTTGAAAACCTTGTGCTTCCCTGCTCCTTCCAAGATGCTACATGAGCAACGTGTGAAAATGGGCCAAACCATCTGCAGACTTTCCCTGGCCCCGTTGTCCTGAGGCAAATCTTTCTAGGAAAAGCATTTCCCTTTGCCCACTGCTGACCAAGTGGGTACAGCCTGCACTGGGGAGCAATCGGAGCTCGGACCTCGGCCTCCCTGCACAGACCCCTAACCCACCTTATGCACCCTCTGTTCACGTAGAGCTATTCTTCAGCAGGAGGCAGAGGGCTACTTGGGATCATGGAGAATGGTGGGGATAGAAATGGACGGAAAAGTATTATTTATAGCTCACAGCGAAACGTGATGAGACGAAAAACAATCCCCCGTTCTAATCCCTGCATTACTTTCAAAGAATCAACAAAATCTAATGAGCAGTTATTATTTTACAGCTCTCTTTCTTACATTCCTAATGGAAATAGTTGCACAGATTTCAAAATCTCTCCCACTTCCTGAGCCTGAATAATCTTTGCTTTGAAGTACATTATTGCATGTATGTCAGCTTAGATGGGTTAGCGAGCTGGCATATGACACACGCTGGCAAAAGGGGCCAACTAAACGAAATGTAAAGTGGCATTATTTCTCCTGAGTGAGGGCCTGATTCAGCCCAAACGTGCCTGAAACACGCCGAACTTTAAGCAGGCACTTAAGTGCCCTGCGGAAGGAGCGGAGGGGAACTGCTTGCATACTTGGAGTGAAGCAAGTGGAGTTTAAGTGCTTTGTGGAACCCCAGCCTAAACTAATAGCATTGTAATTCTTGCTCACCGAGAACAAAAGCGAGCCAGTTTGGGATCACTCTGACCTAGATGCTATCAGAGGTTAGCAAAAATGACTGGTCAGACCTGTCAGGACTAAACAGCTGCATCAAGCAATGGGAGGGGGGAGGAGGGCGGTCTGGGGGGAGGAGGGCACCCGGAGTTGCAAATAGAGAGACAGAGGAGCAGGAGGAAAGATGGAAACTGCGTGTCCTGAATACGTATGAACGTGTGTGTGTGTGTGTGTGTTCGCTGCAGCTGAAACTCGGGTCTTGTCATTTGCATATACACAGATCACTGGACATCTTTCCACCAACCTTTCAGAAGCAACCTTATGGCACCATGACTCCCATGCTCTCAGCGAATACGTATGAACGTGTGTGTGTGTGTGTGTGTTCGCTGCAGCTGAAACTCGGGTCTTGTCATTTGCATATACACAGATCACTGGACATCTTTCCACCAACCTTTCAGAAGCAACCTTATGGCACCATGACTCCCATGCTCTCAGCACTCCTTGGGCTCCATTTCCATAAATTACAGTACAAAAGGATAATAGTCTGTTATCTGTCCCAGCATTGTGTGACATACAAAGCACCAAAGGCAGGAGTATTTTCCTTCCTGTCCTGTGCCCCTTTTGCCGACCAGGTGTAGCCCCACTAGCAAAACGTGGTAGTGTGCCAGCAGTTTCTGACCTGATTGCAAAGCTAACTAAAGCTAATTTATCATGGCAGGCTAATCAGGATGACAAGGTTGGGTAGGTGACATTCTCCAAAATCTCCAATTTGTTTTTTTTCTTTTTTTTTTTTTTTAATCCCCTTAGCAATTTATTTTCTGAATAGCAAAGTTTTCCCCAAGAATGTTCCAAAA